TAACAAAATGTTGGATATAAATATGTTGTTTGTTGTTCTAAACATATGCAAACTAAAATGAAAATGGCATAAATTAAAAGACTACCACTTGCTGCATGAAAATAACATATTTTTATAAATATACAGAAGGTCGACTTTAAAGTTGTAAATCAACTCCCGCGATCTCCCGCAATCTCCCGGTTTACGAAAAACGTGTTAAATAAACCAGTATCGTATGCTATTTTTTTGCTCAACGAAGGGGGGGGGGGGGGGGGGGTAGTGAGGCACTTCAAATACAAAATTATTTTCTTTCTTTTTTTACTCAACCCCCCCCCCCCCCCCCCCCCCCCCCCGTTGAGCAAAAAAAATGCATACGATCTCCCTCGAAGCAGTTCCCCAAAGTTGACAGCCCTGTTTACGTTTCTTTCTCATTTTACTAAAAATCAATCATATTTATCTGATATTTATTTGGATAATAATAGAGCAGAATGATATAGCAATGAAATCTCAATGTGCTTTACAAGAAATTAGTGCACTTAAATGTTGTATACAGACATGCACGTTTTGTATGTTATAACAAAAAAATCATTGTAAGCTACTGGTAAGGAACCTAGAATGCAGGAACTAACGCCACTTACGTAAAAGGGCCACTTTTCATTAACAAGCATAATATATAAGGCTAGTTTAATTATATAGGGACTGACATAGAATATATTGTTGATGGGGTTGCATATTCCTTTTCTATAGGAATCCGTGTTATTTCTACCTATAACATTCAACTTCTCGATATATATCTGAAATAAATTGTAAAATAGCTTGAGTGCTTTATCAACAATTTGCCACCGATAATTATGTGATCAAAGACAATCGCTGTCGAAAACGTCCATTAAAAAAATCAAATGTAGATAACAGCTTCTTATGTTGAGGGCGTGTGAAATAAAAGAGTTTAAATGTGTTCAATAGCTATAAACATGACATTTTCTGCAGTATTTGTCAATAAAATAATCTCCAATATTCCATAAAAAGAAACAGTTTGGATACATTCTCTTTAAATCCCGATTTTAAAAAAGAAATCTTTACAATGACCCAAATCCCCATTTCTGATATGCCTGAAAAAGGCTAAGTTAGCCATTTTAAAATTGCGAAATAACGTGTTTATACTTAGTTATAACATGCTCTTTGCAAAAATATATTACCAAAAATCCTCTCAAAAATTCCCAAAACAGCCGGGCTTCTTTAACCATTTGACAACTAATTCCATTGCACTCTGCTCTTTCATTGCATTATATCAATTATGGCCTTGCCGTTTGACTGTTTGGGGTCACAATGTCTAATACACAGACTACTGTAATATTAACAATACAAAAACGCATAGCACGGATTATCAATAACCCCCTAGTAAACATTCTCTCTCCTCCGTTAATAATGAAAATTATTGCAACACAATCGTTGAAGACAAGTTGTCATAACAGGCTGGATCTAGTCCAAATTTTGTCATCACTTTCTTGTGCCATTAATTGGTGGGGAATGCTGTATATTGCAGTGTTTCCTAACCTTCATGTGAATTTGGCAAGTATTTTGAACTGAAACTAAAATGGTATACATGTTTGAATCTGTAAAATGTATTATTTCAAAAGTTACAAAGATAGCCTGTTGAATAGCATCAGTGCATAATGAACGTGACTATCTGTCACTTCTGCATTTCATGACAAACCTTTTTATTGAAGTTATTCCAACTTGGTGAGAATCAATAGGGGCACTTGTTATTTACTAAATGTCATGAACATATCCTTTAAATATCTTTAAAGTATACAAAAAGCGAAATGTTGTATTTCTATTTAATAAAACATTTTTTAACAGGATAACATTGATCAGCTCGCAGGCTGTTTGACATAATGATCCTGCATGAAGAAGGACAAATACAAATTTAAAAGGAAAATAGTAGTTTTGTATAAGCGGTAAAAATAGAAACAACTTAAAAAAGGTGTTTTTTTTAAACATAAGGGAAAAACGAAAAGAGGGGGGGGGGGGGAATATATGCATACATCTTGATAAAAAATACATCGATGGGTAAGCGGATCTACAAAAAATATTGACAAGTTAAATATAATCCGTTAGAAAAATGAAAATAAAAATAGATTGAACAAGAAATGTCTTAGCAGCTACATAGGCCTCGACCAAACAATTATATAAAATAGATATCAAATATACAACGTAATGTAGGTATATGTAATTTTCTAGATAAAAGAGTAATAAACCCTTTTAGTTAGTTATTGCATATAATGCTGTAGTAATAAGGAGCAAAAGATTTTTAAAGGAAATTACGATTTACTTATTTGCTCAACTTATTCATATTTAAATCATTATCACGGGAGCAATAATTGTAGAAAGCACCCAATATGTGCTTGAAAATGTAACTGTATTATCTACTGTACGCTTCGACTTTTAATTTCAAGTTAGGCAACAAACACCCATATTTAATTGTATGATGCCTAACCATCTGTGAATATTGCTTTATATGTCTTCAGATCTCTGCACATTTATAAAACACATTATTATTTGTTACAGCCACTATGCTAAATGCGTTAAAATATTTAATGTTTGTGTAAATGATATACATATTATTCATTTTAATGTCCATGCACAATAGCCATAAACAAGACATTTTCTGCATTATTTTTCAAAGAAATAATTTTATTAAAAAAAGAATAGCGAACTGTTGTCACACAGCAGTTTTGATATTTTTTGAAAAATTCCAATTAAAAATAATAAAATTAGAAAGACCCAAACCCCCATTTCTGAAATGCCTAGAAAGTAAGTTTAGAGCCATTTTAAAATGTGGAAACAACGTGTATCTTGATGTTTGAAGGTTTGCATGGTGGTATGAACAATCGCGGAAGAGGTTTACGGTACACCATGTGTAAAGTCCTAGAAGGACTAAGGAAAGTGGATAGAAATAGAAGTGAAATGGAAAGGCGAGAAAGTGGAGGTTGGAAGGAAGAGTATCTTTCGGAAGTGAGTATAGTCCTGAAAAGGACTGTAAACCAGAAAGTTGTAGACAGGATGAGAGGTTTGAGTAGAAGACTGGATTGAGTTGGAGAGTTGAGTAGATGAGAGAAGCTGGCTTGAGTCGGCGAGTAGAGTTGCAGAGCAGGAGCAGGAGAGTAGACTCGACGTTTCGGACAGGTTGACTGTCCGTCTTCAGGAGTGGAGAAGACGAACAGTCAACCTGTCCGAAACGTGTAGGTTGAAGTAGGTATTGAGAATGTATTTAGACGGTATATGTATTATGTACATTTATATATGTCTTTAACAAAATGAACAGATTTTGTCTCGTGTTTAATATTTATATACATTGATTTAAATGGTTTAAGTCATACTTATTTAAAAGGTCTCAAATTGTTTGTGTTAATGATTCAAAGTCTGCTCCTGCTGCGTTGGTTAGGGGTGTTCCACAAGGATCTGTTGGAGGCCCGACACTTTTCTCAATTTACTTAAGTGGTCTGAAACAGATTTTACAATGTCACTCTTTTAATTACCATTTTTATGCAGACGATATCCAACTGTATACATCATTCCTACCTAACCAAACCAATGTCATTGATACCATTAAAAAACTTGAAGCTTGTGTTCATGATATCAAGAAATGGATGAGCTCTAATTCCTTGAAATTAAATCAAGAGAAATCAGAGCTGTTGTTTATCGGTTCTAAAACTCTATTAGACAGGGTCAACCTTCCCTCTATTAAGGTTGATGATGATGTTATCACTCCGTCTAAATCATGTAGAAATCTTGGAGATTTATTTGATTCTACAATGTCCATGTCTGAACAGATCCCGGCTGTTTGTAAATCTGTCAGGTATCAACTACGTAATTTAGGCATTATTCGCAAGTATTTAACCCGCTCGGCCACAGAAAAAATAGTTCATGCCCTCATATCGTCTCGACTGGACTTTGGTCATGCACTTTTGTTTCAGCTGCCACAATCTCAACTTTCACGTTAAAAAAATTACAAAAATCAGCAGCCCGTATTATTACACTTACCACACGTACTTCTCACATTACTCCTGTTTTGTCTTCACTACATTGGTTACCTGTTGAATCTCGTATTGTATTTAAATTGTTATTGCTTGTTTTTCACTGTATACATGGATCTGCCCCAGAGTACAATATTAATTTGTTAATGCCTTATAATTCTCCCAGACCAGACGCTTAAGATCTTCCGATTCTCAATTGCTTGCTGTTCCGAAAACTAAGAAATCATGGGGGATCGGTCATTTGCACACGCTGGACCTTACCTATGGAATCAATTGCCACAACATATTCGTTATATTTCAAGTGTAGATTGCTTTAAACATGCCCTCAAAACTCATTTGTTCAAAGCGGCTTTTCAGTAGATTTAGTTTTACTTTCACATTGTCGTTGTTCATTATTGTGTTTATTTTTGTATGTATTTTTGTGTACTTGTATTTTTTCTTCTCCATGCTCCTCGAACACATTATTCATGTGGAGTTGGCGCATTACAAATACTCTATATTATTATTATTATTATTGTGTATTTTTTAAATATTTTTCTTATATAAATACTTTTTCAATACATATAATTCTGTTGAGTTTTAAAACTCCGGCCTACGATATTATATTACATTAACCTTTTTAGTTTAATTTATCGACGATCTTCTTCATCATACTTTGTACGGAATCTATTCTTTACAAGCTTATCTCACTCTCAAATAAATATATTCGTCTTCTTGTAAAAGCTGTTAAATAACTCAATCAATAACTACATTTGTTACATGTTTCTAATTCCCTTGAGGGTGACTATAATTCACAAAGAATTATTTTATATTGTAACAATTGTATCATGTGAATTGTGAAATAAAAAAAAACAATTGACTGAAACTGAAGCTAAACACTAAACACACGGACTAAACACAGAGCGAGTGTCACGCACCTGCTGCAATATTTGGTTGCATTTGCTTGTTAGCCATCGTATGGGAAGGTGCGGCGAAGGGCCTGGCTCTTGACTTAAGTGGGATTAAACTATAGGTAAGTCGTATCTTTGTTTGTCGTATTTCAAGCAAAAATATGGATTCCTTTTCCTGATTTGTCGTAAAACAATGAGGAGGGGGTTTTTAATAATTACATCCTTGATATTATTTTTGTATATAGAAATGCTCTTAGGCTATTCATTTTCATCAAAAATGTTGTTCATTTACGTTTATACATGCACCACGGTGGCTCAAAACAAGACGAACACTGTATTACATTAATTATTGAAAATGTACTCGTATTCTTTCTTATTCCATGTTAGAGCGAAATGTTAAAATGATACAAAATTGAGGTGGGTGGAAAAGAGGAAGGAGGGAACGGGAAACGGGGAATTCATGTTATTTAGTAGAACCATCTCCATATTGCTTTACCGCGCTGTCATGTTCTGCCTTTCAACGGAACCCCTAATCTTTGAAGGCTCAATTTATTTAAATTCCGAAATCTGTAGTGGTTGCATGTGGCCTCTGATGTTCAGGTGAATTCCCTGAGCGCGTTTTCTCTCCTCCATTTGATTAATGAAAAAAGAAATCGTTGGAGACAAGTTGTCATAATATATAGGCTGGATCTAGTCCAAATGTTGTCATAAATTGTTACTAGGCTCAAACTATTTTTTTTGTCCACGGGGGCTCTTTCCCCCCAAAAATAGCCCCCGTGAGCCTTCTCACGGGGGCTCTTTTAGTACTGACAGGGGCTCTTTTTTTATACAAATTTCCATTGAATTGGTACCTATGATACTCCTTAATTAATTGCTATTTCATCATTATCATTTTAATCAGCATTATCCCTCTTACAAATTTACAAGCTACATAGCTGTTACTGACTTTCATCCCGTGATGACATTCTCTAGATTTCTTCCCGTTCTGCACATTATTTCCTCCTCATTATTCGGAGCAACCTTTACATTCTTTCTTTACTGAGCGATTCTGTTTTTGGTGCTTTTTTGTACAGGCGCGGATACACGGGCCGATTCTAACGGCCCGCCCCCCCCCCCCCCTTAGCCTCCCAAACCGGTGATAAAATAGGATAATAACATAAATTTAACCTTAAAAACCCCCTGACCTGCCAGTGACATAAATGCGGCATCAAAATATTTGTGCTTCTCTGACCGTAATTAAATGCCTAAAACCCCTGAGCTTCCGGGGCACCACCCCCTCAGCCCCCCCCCCTACACCAATTTACGCTCGCTACCCTCTACCTGATCGTAAATACTTTAGCCCCCCCCCCCCCCCCCACTTTGATAATCAATCTTGGCACAAAAGTCCTACGGGAGCTGTTTCAGTGACATACCGTACCACACTATGACATATCTTATTCTCCCTTGCAAACGAGAAAGAAAACAAGGTCATTAAAAGGGATTAAGCGACAAATAATGATTGTGATTCAAATTGATGCGAATATTTGTTTGAATAAGCACTGCTATTCACCAGAATCTTCTTTGTAAAAAACAACTTTTACAAATTTCAGCCATGCTTACTGAGTTGAGACGTTCCATTCAATTTAAAATACTCATTAAAGAATACACTTCTCCAAATGTGAAAGTGATCTTACAACACAGTGGCAGAATTGCATGGCTGACATTTTTAAAAGTCATTTTTACAAAGAAGATTCTAGTGAAAAGCATTGCTTAATATTCAAAAAAATCTTGCATCAATTTGAATCACAATGATCATTTTGTCTCATGATCCTTTTATTAAATAACCTTGTTTTCTTTTTTGTTTGCAGGGGGAGAAGAAGCTATGTCACGTTAAGAAATCACATAATAACTTTATATTGGCTCATACTAATACTGATACGGGCTAAATACAATTTGGTATCGGCACAGTAAGATCGGGTATTTGTATAGAGGTATTCCAAAATGACAAAATTACATTCTGATCATCAACATTTTGTTCTGTTATCATAATATATACGCATAATACAACTGATCTTTGTAATCATAACGTGGCATAGCTTCTTCTCCCCCTGCAAACAAGAAAGAAAACAAGGTTATTTAATAAAAGGATCATGGGACAAAATGATCATTGTGATTCAAAATGATGCAAGGATTTTTTTTTAATATTAAGCAATGCTTTTCACCAGAATCTTCTTTGTAATAATGACTTTTAAAAATCTCAGCCATGCAATTCTGCCACTGTGTTGTAAGATCACTTTCACATTTGGAGAAGTGTATTCTTTAAAAATAATAATAATAATAATTATAATAATAATAGCCTAATAGTCCACTCCAAATTTTATTAAACCGAAACGGAAATTCTTTTTGCCCAATTGATCGTGAGCCCGGCAGCCACTGAGCAGCACCAGATCGAATGGAACGTCTCAACTCAGTAAGCATGGCTGAGATTTGTAAAAGTTGTTTTTACAAAGAAGATTCTGGTGATTAGCAGTGCTTATTCAAACAAATATTCGCATCAATTTGAATCACAATCATTATTTGTCGCTTAATCCCTTTTAATGACCTTGTTTTCTTTCACGTTTGCAAGGGAGAATAAGATATGTCATAGTGTGGTACGGTATGTCACTGAAACAGCTCCCGTAGGACTTTTGTGCCAAGATTGATTATCAAAGTGGGGGGGGGGGGGGCTAAAGTATTTACGATCAGGTAGAGGGTAGCGAGCGTAAATTGGTGTGGGGGGGCTCAGGGGGTGGAGCCCCGAAAGCTCAGGGGTTTTAGGCATTTAATTACGGTCAGAGAAGCACAAATATTTTGATGCCGCATTTATGTCATTGGCAGGTCAGGGGGGTTTTAAGGTTAAATGTATGTTATTATCCTATTTTATCACCGGTTTTGGAGGCTAAGGGGGGCTGGGCCGTTAGAATCGGCCCGTGGATCCGCGCCTGTTCAAAAAAGCACCAAAAACAGAATCGCTCAGTAAAGAAAGAATGTAAAGGTTGCTCCGAATAATGAGGAGGAAATAATGTGCAGAACGGGAAGAAATCGAGAGAATGTCATCACGGGGTGAAAGTCAGTAACAGCTATGTAGCTTGTAAATTTGTAAGAGGGAAAATGCTGATTAAAATGATAATGATGAAATAGCAAATAATTGAGGAGTATCATAGGTACCAATTCAATGGAAATTTGTATAAAAAAGAGCCCCCGTAAGAAGGCTCACGGGGGCTCTTTTTTAGGGGGAAGAGCCCCCGTGGACAAAAAAATAATTTGAGCCCTGGTATTTGAGTATGGAACTCGTGCAGATCGTGTGGTTAGGTGGAGTGTGTCCAGGCTTCGGTGGCCCTTGACAGGACGAATTTGGTCTCGGCAGCTATAGGGGGACTGCCCATTTAAATAAAGAGTATTCTAGTTTTTTTTCTCTCTGTGGCTTCGTAATGCGGTATATAGTATGTTAATGATTTAAATATATCTTGTATTTCTTGTCACTTTTTATTTGTTTATTTTATATATATATATATATATATATATATATATATCTTGTTTGTTGTTTGCTTATCATTATTGATGACCTGTAAATATTTTGATATTAGTTTCGATTTAATAAGACATACAACAACAATAAAAACTAGACTTTAATTCGTCACTTAGACGAATTAGGTGATACGTATGATAATGGTTTACATAACGAATAATGCATTACACGATATATTATTTTGCTTCTCCCATTCATATGCTTCTCCCATTATGATCTATTCATATGTCAAGATTAAATTGTGTCTCCTTGATCATCATGGATCTAGGGAAGATAGATTGAAACAATATATGACCTTTGACCCTGTGCAGTAACCAGTTACACATTTGACTCTAATTTACATCATGAAGAACACCTTTTGACGATTTTATCTTATTCAAAGAAATGAAAATGTAATTGATAAATGATTAGCATCATTATGATAATGATGATCGTGATGATCATGATCATGATCATGAGCGCGATCATGACATCTTATTGAAAAAATGAGGGTTGATTTAGATAGCATATAATCTCAGCTACAACATACTCAAAAATCAACAAAATCCAAGCCGAAATAACGGCGATATTGCTCGCAAAAGACAGGAATGTAGACTCCAGATTTGAGAAAAAGTCATTTCCCATAGGGATTACACGCAAAAAGTAATGGATTAAGTGAAAATAGGGTAATAATAAAGTAAAAAGGGTTATTTATGACATTATTTGCGAATCTATGTGTTTAAATAATCAAAGGAGATGGTACAGTGAAGGTCAAAAGGAAAAAAAAGTGAAAAAAAAGTGTTGGAGACACCCGGACTCGAACCAGGGATCTCGAGGTTGGAAGTCAAGTGCGTTACCGATATACCAAAACATCTCCCATAGCGATTACACGTAAACAGGAAATGGAATTCAGAAATCCTACTTTGCAAGTGAAATATGAGCATGATCCCGGCATCTAATCGAAAAATAAAGGGCACACTTGTGATAGCTCATTGTCTCAGCTACAACATATCCGAAGCTCAGCGAAAACAAAGCTAAAACAACGGAGATTTTGCTCGCGAAAGACAGGAGTGTAGAATCCAGTTTTGAGAAAAAGTCATGTCCCATAGAGAATACACGCAAAATGCGAAAAATTGACATGCCTCCTTTAATCGTAAAAATACACCATGATACTGTTGTTAAAAATAAACATTGTGAATACAACATTTGTAGAAAAATGTCTCAGCTAGAACATATTAAAATTTGAAAGAAAATTAATCCATATTAACAGAGATACAATCAATTTTCCAAAAATATGCTGACGTCATAATATGCAAATTTAAATTTTGAGTTTGGAGGCCATTATGATGACATTATGACTTAATTGAGGGTCAAATGAGACATGAAATCATATCTCCGACTCATAGTCTATCCAAATATGACAAAATATTAGGAGTTTCTATCTATTCTAAAGAGTTACAACGAATTTTATATAGGCATGTTTTTGCCCATGTATTGTGGATAAAGATAACGCAAATCCGCGCGTGCTGTCAACTTTGACGGACGCTCATTGCGTTAATAAAAGGTGAACAAATTATCAAAATGCTTGGAAAAATG